AAGGTGAGTTTGAAAGGGTGAGGTAGGTGAGAACTGTTAAGTGGCTATGATGCAGACAGTAGGAATAGTTGTAATACACGAGCTTTGATGGGTTCCATGTGCAGTAGCATTGTTAGTTTGAATGGTTTAACGTGAGGAGATGGTGATACCTACACTTGCAGAGTGCAGAAGATCATTGACCCTCTTTCTGCACTGCGGGGTGCCCTGCTTTATTTAGGGCACAGCACTGACCCAGGCTGCAATTTGTGTCTGGTCTGGCTTTATATGGTGACATGGCCTCCTGTGACAGACTGCTGGACAAAGGAGTGCCCCCCTCCTCACCACCTCATCCACCAACACTTCCAGGCCCCTGCCCATGAAGAGGTAAAAGAGCTTCTCTCTCCTCTGGACCATGTCCTAAATGGTGTGACATGAGCACCACAGTGTGTGTGTTCATTGCAGACTTGCAGCTTCTGAAATAATGTGCAGCAGGGCTTTAAATATGATGCCAATGGTATGTCTAGGTCAGTGGTGAGCACATTCATGTCTCTGGCTATGAAATTCCCTGAGAAAGGTATCATAGACTTGGCTGCATAGCTAATATAGTGAAGATTAGAAGATTCCACGAAAAAATTCACTTTGAGCCAATAAGGTTTTAGAGTAGATTTGTAGCTCGGGTTGTGGATGTTGTAGTTGGTTGGCTCGCCAAGCTGGTTCATTGTTTCGCAGACATTTCGTTACCCTGCTGGGTGACATCATCAGTGCAGCCTCCAATGAAGCGCCGTTGTGTTTTCCCACCTGTTATTTGAACTCGAGTCCGTTGAGCTGGATTACCTCATTTCCGGTTTTCCTTCACAGTGGAGAGTATATGGGGTTGAGCTCTGTGTTTATTGATGGCATTCTTCGTGGAGTATCAGGCTACTAGGAATTCCCGTGCTTGTCTCTGCTTTGCTTGTCCCAGGATCTTGATGTTGTCCCAGTTGAATTGATGGTTCTCCTTATCCATGTGGATAAAGATCAGTGAGTATTGGTCGTGAATTTTGCAGCCAATTGATGTTCGTGTACCCTTGTTAATTTCCTTCCTGTTTGTTTGATATAGATAGCAGGGCAGGCGATGGGATATGACTTTAATACATGGATGCTAGTGAACGTCACTATGAGCCACAATGACCACGTCTGTGATAAGTGTCTGCAGCTCAAGAAACTGCAATGCATGAGTTGATGAGGTAGAGTTCATGCTTCAAACACTGCAATGGATCAGTGAGAAAGAAATTTACTTGAACACTTGTTCCAGGAGGCAGATAGCTGCTTAAGCAGCATACATTGGCACCTTGAAAAGCTTTTGACTACCTGTTCCATTCTTGGTATTGAATTACAGAATGTACATAGCTCTATGAGATAGAAATATTGTCTTATTATATCATATTGTGGAGATATCTGCTTCGGACAGTAATAAAGGAAAGGTGGTTGAAGCTGTGGGTAAAGTGGCACAGAAGATAAAAATGGAGCAATCTCAGCTTCTGTAATCATCCAACAGGTTTGAAGTTTTCACAGTTTTTGTGGGCAAGAGCAGAGACTATAACATGGATGATCAAACATACCATGACACCATGGTGCAGGAAGTCCTTCGCGTGAGGAAGGAGCTGTAGTTTAGAATAAAATAGTTGGGGGGGGCTAGGGTACAGTCCTGTGTAGCCAAGAGCTTGAGGCTTGAAGGCTGTGTTTCCTGCAGAGAGTTAAGGACATCTCCTCTAGACTGAAGACAGAGGGAAGGATCAGTTGTCATAATGCACATGAGTTTCACTGAATACATAGGACTAAAAAAGAGGTTCTGCAGAGGGAGTATGAACAGTTACATACCACATTACGTAGAAGAATTTAAGAATTAATGATCTCTGGATTACTACTGCGCCTTGAGTAAACTGACAGAAAGTAAATAAGATCAACAACCTGAATGCAAACCTCATGGATTGGTTTGGGAGAAATGAATTTTGATTCATCAGGCACTGGCAGCAATATTTGGTTGATTACACTTGGAGCAGTCTTCACCTGAACCATGCCGGGACCAAGGTGTTATTGAGTTGTATAACTGGGGCTTAGAACTAACTAGTGGGGGAATGATTCACTTGAGGGGAGATTTGGAAAATTAAAGGCAAAGGACTAGTCAGCAATGGAGGATAGTGTTACCAGGAGCTACAACGATAATAGGAAAGGACAGAACATAGAACTATAAGAATGCATCAGCAAATATGGTAAGTGTAGGTGAAAAATAGTTTTATATTTAACAGAGGAAGGGAAGGTTCAGATCAAGGAAGATTAATAAATTCAAAGACATAAGTTGAAGCAACAGAAAGTATATCAATGTGGATAAAGACAAGCTAAGTAGGACAGCAGGAGGAGAAAGTTTTTCTCTAATTGTACAGCAGAGATTTATGTCCATGTAGGCATTTGTAGTAAAAAAAAATGAAATTCTGTAAGTGTGCTGCTTCCACAGAAAAGATAAATTAACTATTCGTCTAAGGGACTATGTATTTTTCCAGTTTGAGCCGTGTAGCTGGGAGACCAAGAGATATTTGCAAATTGGATAAAGTCAACAGCACAAATTTAGCTGTGCAAGATGATGTTGCTTTTTGAAGCATTGAGGCAGATACTTTGAGCTGGGTGGCATCAAGCAGCATTGAGTTAAGGAAAGACTGATGACCAGCGTTTCCTGTAATTTTATTTTCCCCTCTGCGTAGACCTTCAACGTCTGTGCACACCAATAACTTTCGGAGCTGGAAGTCATTGCTGTGATCTGAGTCAGCAGACCGATCACCATGCACACGACATTGGAGTGGCTGCACATGTACACAGCTGCTCAGCTTAGAGGCTGACAACAGCCCTCAGGCTGACTGAACTGGAGTTTACTATGAATCTTTCAGTGCGGGGCAGAGACGTCCAGAGCCTGTGAGCTGAACATCACTCTGTCTTCCTCCCACTCTTTGTCTCCATGTGGGTAAAGGGTTTATAGAAAACAAGAAATCTTCAAAGGAAGAATTCTAATGAGAAAAGGTTTAGGCCCACCCAATTAATAATTGAAGTGAGGAAGAATCATCACTTTACAGACATCAGTATATCATCAGTGTTAGAATCGATTAGGAAGTCTTAAAAATGCACTGCAAAAATCATAGGACAAGTCACTATGGTTTTATGAAAGATAGTTCTGTTTGACAAATTTATGAGTTTTTGAAGATGTAACCAATAGTGTACACAAAAAGGGGAGCCAGTAGATATAGTACACTTGGAGTTACAAAGGCATTTGAAGAAGTGAGATTCAAAAAGTTAAAATACAGCATAAGAGCTCTTTTTTTATTCACTCACCAGATGTGGGCTTGCTAGTATTTATTGCCCATTCCTAGTGGACCTTGAGAAGGTGGGCTGATATGTTAGTATGGATAAAAGATGGATTAAGGAACTGGAAGCAAAGAGTAGAGATAGGTGGATTATTTTTAAGTTAGCAGATTGTACTAGTGGAATGGTACAATGATCAGTGCTAGGACCCGTATTATTTACAATCTTTGTTAATGAGTTAGATGAGGGAATAGAGTAATATATCTCAATTTGCGATGATACAAAGCTGTGAGGAGAACATGAAGCAGCTGCAAAGCGATATAGTCAGGCTAAGTCCTAGACCCAACCATCTTCAGCTGCTTCATCATCAACTTTCCCTCCATCATAGGTCAGAGGTGGGGATGTTTGCTGATGACTGTACAATGTTCAGTACCATGCACGACTCCTCAGATATTGAAAAAAGCCTGTATTCATTTGCAGCAAGACATCAGGACTAGAGCTGATATGTGGCAAGTAACATGCACCATGCACGTGCCAGACAAATGCTATTCCAACAAGAACAATTGCCTCTTGATGATCAGTGGTGTTACCATCACTGAATTCCCCACTATCACCTTACTGAAAGCTACCATTGACTAGAAGCTGACATGGACTGGCCATGTACATTTTGTGCCTGAAGGAACATTTAGAGACTAGGAATTCGGCAGCAAGTAACTCACTCCTTGTCTCCCTAACGTGTCCACCATCTACAAGACACACGTCAGGAGTGTGATGAAATATTCTCCACTTGCCATAATAAGTATTTGTAAAATCATGAGAGGCACAGATAAGGTGAATAGCAAAGGCCTTTTCCGTAGGGTGGAGAAGTTTAAAACTAGGGAGCATATTTTTAAGGTGAGACAAGAAAGATTTGAAAAGGACCTGAGGGGCAACTTTTTCACACAGAGGGTGGTTCGTATGTGGAATGAACTGCCAGAGGAAGTGGTAAATACAGGCACAGCTACAAAAACAGGAATAGGATAGAGAGATATGAACCACTTGCAAGGGGTCCATTTTAGATTGGGAAACTTGGTCAGCATAGACGAGTTGGACCAAAAGGTCCATGCTGTATGACTCTGAGTGCAGCCCTAACAGCACTCAAGAAGCTTGACACCATACAGAACAAAGGAGCCCCATGTTTGGTACCACATTGAATATTCAGTCCCTTCACCGCTGACACAAAGTGGCAGCAACATGTGCTGTTTACAAGACACAGTGCAGTAGCTCACTGAGGCTTCTTTGGTAATACCCTTCAAACCCACAGTTTCTAGCCACCTAGAAGGATGACTGCACCAGATGCATTGGAACATCAACCGTAAGTTCTACCAAGTCATAGTTCACCTGGGGTTAAGGGGGCCTAAAACCCTCGGAGCAGCCCTGCACCCATCAGCAGTCTGCAACTCCCTGCCCCACATTCAATGACGAGCAGCAAACAGGTTGGATGTGTCCCTGGTGCTGCAGGTGGTCTCTGTCCTATACTTTCTTGCTGCCTCTCAAGCTTCAATAAGGTACTTATGGGCATAAACTTGATGTAATGACAAAGATTGTAATCTGTGGATTTTTGGGCTGCAACATGTTTTCAAACGATAGGCAACAGCAGCTTTTGCTGAAAAAATTGACATAATAGCTAACAAAATTGTGATATTCTACAGATCATCGAAAACCTGGGGTTATCAGATTAATGTCAAGAGTCGCTGCTCCAACTACTGCCCCTGTTGTGATGACGACAGCCATCAGGAAGCCACATACCCATCACTGGACTACAGTATATCAGACAACTGACAGTAAATCTACAGGCTGGCTTCCCTCTATCATATCCAGACAACCTTTACCGAGAGAAACTCCACCTGTACAGAATAGAGATGCAGCATTCTTGGAAATCAGTACAGGGACTAGAGGAGGCAGTAAAGAAGGAGATAATATAAGCAGACACCACATGAAAGGAGAGAAACATGTTCCAAAAATCCTTGGTCCATCATCGACTCAGCAAAGGACTGTAATAAAATCGCAGCCTTCTGGTGAGACTGTAACTACGGAAGACCTTTATGTCGAGGATAAATTAACACCTGAGCCAAAGATAGTCACGTGTACAGACTCGCCATGTTTCTCTGGGGTTCCTTGTGAATCAACTCCTTCTGGAAGCTTTAGGTGTGGACGGTGCCCTTTTGGCTATTTTGGTGATGGAGTCGCATGCAAAGGTATTGTATTATTATTGGTGCTGTTGTAATTATGGCCAAGTAAATATTCAATTGTTACATATTTGGAAGCAAAATGAAAGAAGAAAAGACCCAAAGGGAACCTTTCATAAAATGTGCCGAACTATATGTATATGTATATATGTGTGTGTGTGTGTGTATGTATATGTATATGTATATGTGTGTATATATACATACACACACACATACATATAGATATACATACACACACACACACATATATATACATACATACACACACACACATATATGATATACATATACAATGTCAGAAAACTCAGCTTTCGTAACTAAAATAGTTATTATTTGTCTGTCATTATAAAATTTGAGGTCTTGTGGTGCAGTGGGTAGCCTTCCTGCCCACTGCAAATTGAGTCCCATCCCAGGTGTTAATGGCCATTGATGGTGCATTTATAACCTGATAAAATAGTTTGAGAATCAACCTGCAAATCCATCCAACACAGACCAACAGCAGATGGTATGAGCAGGAGAGATTCCTGGTCAGCATATGAAAGAAAGAAAACTGGAGACTCAAACATTACTGCCCATAGCTCCAGATGACAATATACATCTAAAACTACATGATCCCCAGTAACTCAGATTTACTACTGAACAGTGAAGCACCACAACATATTGTTTCTAAAGACTAGTACTCTGGGTGGCACAGTGGCTCAGTGGTTAGCACTGCTGCCTCACAGCACAGGGACCCTTGTTTGATTCGAGCCTTGGATAACTGTGTGGAGTTTGCCCATTCACCCGTGTCTGTGTGCGTTTCCTCTGGGTGCTCCAGTTTCATCCCACAGTCCAAAGATATGTAGGTTAGGTAGATTAGCCATGGTAAACGAGAGTTTATGGGGATAGAGTGGTGGTCTGGGTGGTGTGCTCTTCAGAGGGTCAGTGCAGATTCGATGAGCTAAATGACCTCTTTCTGCACTGTAGGGATTCTATGATTCTAGTATGAGTGAAAATAGGTTCTCACTGAAAAGACCACTTGCATTGATGTAGCACCTTTCACAACATTAAGACTGCCGAATGTGAATTGCATTAATTAATTAAGTATTTTTTTAAATGTAGCCATTGTCAGGATATAAAAAAAATCAGCAGCCTATTTGCATACAACAATCATTCTACAATCCTTATTGAAAATGACCAGATAATCTGTTTTGCAATTTTATTTGATGGATAAATAATGGCTAGGGCATAAGATATAATTTCCCTTCTATTCAAAATAATGTCTTCTTTTTAACCAACATCTTGGAAAACAGGTGGATGCTTTGGTTTGATATCTTATCCATAATGTTGCACTTGTAACTCTGTAGCACTTCCTCATACTGTATTATTTTTAATGCTGTCTAGAATGGGATTGAAACTTTATGACTATAAATATTAAGTTGTTGTTGCGATACTACAATCAATTGTGTCATTGCCAGCAGAAAAGGAGATGGGAGTTGGATTCTGGGGGGAAAAATGTGATTTCCCCCTGCTGAAAAATAGAGAGCTGGGTATAGAAAGGGACTATGCACAGTATGTCCTTGTTAGGGAAAATAAAGAGCGACAGGCAAGAGGATAATTGAAGCAGGCTTTCTGTGGGAATGATTTCGGGGTAAGTCTTCCATGCAAATGTAACTGCTTTTTTTTCTTTGCATAATAAACTTGCGTTCTTGTGCTAAAAGAACTTGTGCAAATCTGTTCAGAGACTGACCACTGAATAACAAAACTGCAAAATTAAATGTTTTAATCTAGCAAGCCACGTTTCACTCTGGGATCGGACTTGTCCAGCATTATCATAAGCTGAGATCCATAACATTTTCAATAATGGTTCTTCAGCCAATCTTTATAAGTGGCATCATATATGACAGATAACTGATGGAGCCTGCAAAAAACAAATTTTTAATCTACCAGCCCATTTGTAAGCTCATCTTTAAAGTTTAATCTCTTTTGATTCAGCCTATGCCTCAATCCCACCCTCGTAAACTTCTTTGTTTTACACCGCAGCAATATTTATGTTTTCCGTAAGAGCTTGCTGAATTAATGCCATTTTTAAAACAATTTGATAAACGTTCCCTTATTGGATCTACAACTTCATTCCATCTCAAACCTATAAAGTTGAATAAGGAAGCTCAAGGTCGAAACCAAACTAAAGGCTCTGAGTTCAACTGTGTCATTCCAATTTGAAAATGTTAACTCAGTTTTAAAACAACTGGTGTCAATAAAAAGTTTTGGATTGCTTTATAAACCCAGGTGGTTCTCGGAGTGCTATGTCGAACGTAGTCAATTGTTCTTATCTAATCTGAACTTGCCAATAATCCTTGTATCTTGAGACAAATTTCTGACTTCTCAAAAAATATAACCCTGCTTTATTTTCTAAGAGCCCTTTGGTGAAAAGATGATGTGGTGTCTTAATGTGCCACTGAGTTTTACAATTTCTTCTTCTCTAACTATGTAGTCACGTTATTCAATACTGAATATTATAAAATCCATTTCTGCTTTGACAGCAATGTGCAGATATCCTTGCGGCAAGAATATGGAATGTTCTGCACCAAATACTTGTCGCTGTAAGCCTGGTTACACTGGATACAGCTGCCAAACTGGTAAGTGTGGACTTAATATATGAATATTGAAAAGAGTACTGTTAAATTCTTTTACCATTGGACTATGTATGTTAAATCCCTTGTTGTCAAAAAGAATGTCATGAATACCGGGAAAATGTTACATTGCATATTAGTGCTGAACTGTTCATGAAAATAATTGATAGGAGGAATTTCACTGCATAGATCAGATTAAAATGTATGTGCAACAATTTGCTCTTATTATAGTGTGTTGTAGGCAGGTTAAAAATGGAAACTTCATAAACAAAGTGGATTACGGAAATCAGAGATAGTAGGAACTGCCGATGCTGGAGAATCTGAGATAACAAGGTGTAGAGCTGGATGAACACAGCAGGCCAAGCAGCATCAGAGGAGCAGGAAGGCTGACGTTTCGGGTCTGGACCTTTCTTCACGAAACGTCAGCTTTCCTGCTGCTCTGATGCTGCTTGGCCTGCTGTATTCATGAAACGTCAGCCTTCCTGCTCCTCTGATGCTGCTTGGCCTGCTGTGTTCATCCAGTTCTACACCTTGTTATCTCGGATAATGGAAATAATTGGATTACGCTTGAATTGCACACCTTGGGATAGATCTCCCTTTGCAAGTCCATTTGAAAAGGGTGAAAAGCAGAAAAGGGTTTAAAATAGCACAAGAGAATAGGGACCTTTCACTATGTCCTTAACGTGGAAAATAGGGGGATGGGCAATCCGCAGTTTTGATTATTTTGCTAGATCTCAGCCGTTGTGGCACTGATAATATTTTATACAACTGTAAGAATGTAACACCCTACGACATAGGGGCAGAAGTAGGTGATTTAACTCATCAAGCCTACTCTGCTATTCAATTCCACTTTCCTGTCTTATCCATAACCCATAACTATTATGCAGGTTGTAGTATCAAAGTGTTCAGAAACACAACATATTCCAGCAGAGTCAGCATGGCTTCATGACATGTTTCTGTCTACCTTCCCTACTACCACCACCCCTAAACCAACTGCCATAGCCCCTGAGTACTTACTTTTTATTTTACTTTTGCTGCATAACTTTGATGGTTTGACAAATATAATACTCTCTTGTTTTTATTTAACCAAAGCTACATGTCGCCCTGACTGTAAAAATCGTGGGAAATGCCTGAAACCCGATGTTTGTGATTGCCCACCTGGATATGGAGGACCAACCTGTGATGAAGGTAATTTGAACACCACACTGCTGATGTAAGAGGAATGCGGTCATGTTTCACTCTTGCAAATCTTGCGTAGGTAGAAATTGATTTCCAGTTTTACATTGCATGCCATTGGTATAGTTTGAAGCAAAAGCCAAAATCAAAGTTAATGAGCCCTGAATTTCTGCTGAGCTTTCTCAGTCCTGCTCCATTGCTTCAGTGGAGCTTTAAGGAAATAGCACTAACACCTGCTTTAAGACCTTGTGATATATCAGTTATTACTTGTAATGGTCAAGTCCCATTCACAGCTGAGACTAGTAGCTGGAGAAGGAGATGGAATTGATGACAAAACTCATAGTTTACAGCAGTGTTGAAGATAATTACTTCGTCTTTCTCATATTTAGCTAGAGGAAATTGCAGCTCAGCTAAGACTGGTTATCAGACAAATGATCTGACAACAGCGATGCAGTGGAACATTCAAGAGGGATGGTGAAGATTTGTTGTCATCAGCAGACATGTGGTTGCTGACTGCATGGCTGAGGATGATATTGCCAAGGGACAGTATGTCCATTAATTACGGTGAAAGAGTCAACAATTTTACAAACTGTGAAGCTTATTTAAAATTACTGGAGCATCAAGATCTCTTCTGTTTTGAAATACTTTCACAGGATTGGTTTTAAAAAATCTATTAAGCATCATTTCATTACACTGAAAACTACATAACTTTTCTTCCTTCTGTTTAACATTGTCTTAATGAATCCCAATTAATACCTTTTATCCTATGGATGAGGTGTTATTTTCTTACTATTTTGAAGACTTGAGGAGTTACAGTAAAACTCATAATTTGCAATGTGCTTACAGGTGGAAGAAGTGTTTTCTGTTTGCCCTAAACTAAGTTTAAAGAAAAAGTAAGGCTTTTGTTCACAGTGCATAGAGTCACCAATGGAAGTTGCTTTCTGCTTTAAACATGCATAAAATATGTCAAGCGAGACAGGTTGAATTGTAATGATGGATGGAATTTGATGTCAGTCTGGCCCAGAAGTGAGTGCCAAGTACAGTGAGGCCCCTTTGACCTGGTCGAGAGGGTATGGAGTTGAGTGCACACTACTGCCGTTCCTCCATTCCACCCAATTAAGTTCAAGGTGGGAAGGCATACATGTGGCTTGTCCACCCAGATACTAATTGAGGCAATTAATGCCCAATTAAGAACATCATCCCTCCTCCACTAGTATTAAAATAGCTCCGGCAGAGGATTTGCTAAACAAAGAGACCAAGAAGCAAATCTTGTCCGGTTTCCTTGTGGTGAAATAGGAGGCTTCCCTTGTTCAAAGGCACTTAGTGCCCCTTCAAAGGACTCCGCATCAGGTAGGGGGTGCCACTTAAGCTTGACCCCAATTCATTCATCTAAACCTCACCTTCTGTCACAAATACCCCTCTTCCTGTGATCTCTCCAGTTACTTATCACTCTCCAGGGATCCCATGGTGAACTCTGAAGGTCCAATTCTAAAACTGGTAGCAGACACCTCCCCCAGTGGCGAAGTCAGTAACCAAGTGTGGCCAGCATCTGGGAGCTCTTGTATCCAGGATTTACATACTCCTTGGTGAAAGTTTGCAATTAAATGTGCCTTGGGGAGCCAGGAGTCCCAGCAGAGTAGAGTTCCTGCTGCCAATTAGTGACTTAATTCTCTGGGGTTCTGAGTCATGTCAGTTTTGGTGGTAGATCACACATCCACCCACCCTGCTCTGATCAAATTCCTCCACATGTGTTTTATGAGACAATGAGAGCATTTTTAATTAAGGTAGTGAACAGTTCAATGTAATAAATCATCTGTAGGCCATAGATGATCAATAGTGTTGATTAAAATGTACACAAGCAAAATACTTCAATAATCAAAATGAACCAACGTGGGCTCCTTGATGACCTTATGGGTAAAAGCAGTATGTGTGCCGCAATAAGTGTCATTGCATTACAAGATGAAGGATGGAAATATCAGTCCAAGTTCATGTTTGTTATCTATCACCTCCGACTAGAAAACATGTGTTAAACATCTGGTAAGTTTCCAAGTCTTCAACTGACGGTCTTTGATGGAGATACTGAACAAATGTTTGCTATTCATGGAACAGTGTAGCAGTCAGTGATAAGAAGGAGAGGTTTCCCTTTTAATCTCAAATCTATCACTTTTTTTTTTGCTTGATCTGTTATGGCTGGAGTAAGCACTTCTATTTCATGCCATGGGAAGTAGGACATAAAAGTACAATTGTTTTGGATACAGCTGCTATCCTGGGAATTTGCCGTCATTGAGGAAGGAGACAAAAGACTAAGTGTTCTTTCTGCTGGTTAAAGCACATCTCAAATGAAGCTCCCAAATTGAGTGATGATGTTTTATTGCAGCTTACTGTGAGCCAGCATGTCAGCATGGAGGAACCTGTTTGGCTCGAAATCTCTGCACGTGTCCCTATGGTTTTGTTGGACCACGTTGTGAAACAAGTAAGAGAATTTCACTATCATTCCAATACATTCTGATTTTTAGATTTTTGCACTCTAATTTTGTAGATTTTTATTACATTTCTTGCAATTAAAGACAATTCAAGGATAATTTTATTGACATTTTCGTAAGTTAATGCACACGAACCAAATGACTTCCTCTTGTGCTGCAACCATTTTATAATTCTTTATTTCCATTGCGTCCAACGTAGGAAATAAAAGCCAAAAGAACTCTGGATGCTGTAAATCAGAAAAAAAGGAACAGAAATTGCTGGAAAAGCTCAGCAGGTCTGGCAGTATCTGTGGAGAGAAATCAGAATTAACGCTTTGGGTCAAGTGACCCTTCCTCAGAACTGTTCTAAGGAAGGGTCACTCAACCCAAAATGTTAACTCTGATTTCTCTCCACAAACTGCCAGACGTCTGAGCCTTTCCAACATACGAGTTGGCTCAGAATGCAGACAGGAATAAAACAAGTTGACAGTTATTGAAATTAATCAATAACTGGCTGCATGAAAGGATTTGCACAGAGTGATGGAAGTGTCCAGTTAAAGGCTCTGATGAATCATACTGGGAACCTTGCTATTCACATTGTATAGTAATGCTTTGTTAATGTAATACTTAGCTGATGATACAAATGAGGTTTATCATTGTAAACAATAATAGTCTGATCGAGTGAAGAGAGGTCAGATAGACTGGGAGGTTGAGCTAAGAAAGGGCAAATGAAATGCAATGCAAAAATGCAGTGTGATGATTACAGAAAATGAGAATAGATGTTATGAATTAAATGTTATTAGGCCACATGGCATAGCATGTAAAAAGCATCTGAATGTATTGGCAAAGAGATCAGTGAAACAACCCACACCATGTGTAGTACTAGTGAAGAAAGTAAATGAAATCTTGCATAGTGCAAGGAATAGATCATAAATCACTAGACATGATACTGAGTGTATAATGTGCATTGGACCATTCTTATTTGGAGTATTTTATTAATTTCTAGCTGGCATCATAGTGTTGGCAAAAGTGCCACAAAGGGCTGTGCACCCAATGACTGGGTTCAGATACTTTTGTCAAGACAAGAAAGTACAAAGCTGAAGTTGTTTTATACCAGACTAGGAGGCTTACAATGAATTTTTTTTTCTGACAACTTGTAAAAGCTTTTAAATATTTAAAGACGTTCAGTTTACCAAGAAACTGACCAGTATATACCAATAAAACTAACAAGTAGTTCTGTTTAGTATTTTAAAACATAATTTTCAGTTACTTAACATCAGATTACTTACTTTTCTCATTAAAAATGTTTTTATGTGATTCAACCCATATTCAGCTTTATAAGTAAAATATAACCAGGTTATTTCTCTTAAATATATCAAAGAATGTTTTTGAATATAAGGCTTTTAAAAAGGTCAAAAAGCTACAAAATTGTGCTTGTTAATGGCAAACTTTATGTTTGTAATTACATTTTCATGAGTGGAAACCTAAATCATAACTTCGAGAAACATCACAATTTGGTGCTTAGCTTTTCAATCACATCTTAAGTGGAAGCTTTTTTCTATTTAGAGGCAAGGCACAGTGATACAGCATTAGGGATGGGAAATACATGTGTAATCAATGTAGGTCATAAAGTAATGTTAAAAAAAGCAAATTGAAGTGACTAACCCAAGCCATCGCATGGCAAATCGGGGATACTTGTGAGGGTCGAAAATGGTGTAGATTTGAAGTTTCAGTTCAGATTCTAGCAAATAATCAAAAGCCGTAAAGCAGTAAGAATTTAATAATTATATAATCTGAAACTTCATCTGATGTGTAATATAAATGATTATAAAAATTGTTCACACCCTCTTTAAAGACTCATTTTAAATTATGCCTTTTAAATAAACTATTACCCATTTCTCTATTATGTCTATACCTATAGTGGTTTGTAATAGACACTGTGAAAATGGAGGTGAATGTGTCTCTCCAGATGTTTGCCTCTGCAGATCTGGCTGGAATGGTCCCACATGTAACACAGGTAAGGAAAATAATCATGTATGTCATTAATTTTTCTTAGTTTCCTTGTCCCTTATGTTGTATGGTACACAGTCTTGATTTTGTCTTTCACTGATTTCATCTTTCAAACTCGTGACAGACAGCAATCAATTAAATATCTTAGTTGCAGATATATCCTGACTTTATTTATGGAATACTGTATTTTCAATAAATACTGTACGTAGCAGGGCTACATCATTACTCATTAATTGATTCAGATTGAAGGCTCCATGACAACAAAAACAGTTTACAACTTCTTCATAAACCATATGAATCCCTAATGAGTGTTGTTTGTGCAGCATAATCACCTACATCGTAGAGTGACATCGATATTTATTTTGCTGCAGGATCATTTTTAAAAAATCTTTCAAGTGTTCAAATTTTACCTTCTGTTTCTTTTTAAAGTGGAGTGAAATCCACAGCAGTACTTCTCATTCAAATACTTCCTAGAATTTAAAACAAAATAACAAATTTATTTCATAAAGTGATCCAAAGCCACACAAACCCAGAGAAACGATCTTAAATAAACATATGGGGCAAACAACTGACTCTCTGTGAGCTTCAGGGGATGGGCTTTGTTTGGGGAGTTTCAATTTCTGAGAAAAAGCCAACCTAATATGAAATCTTGAGGGAAATTCTCTTCCCTGCTACTAAATTCTTCAAATTATTTCTCATGACACTTTATTTTTCTTAACATTTTAACTTTTCTTTCAGCTGTTTGCAGTCCTGTATGTCTAAACGGTGGGAGGTGTATCAGACCCAACATCTGCATGTGTCCGAATGGATTTTTTGGATCACAGTGCCAAAACGGTAATATTTTAGAAAAAGTAATCACTCTAGCAATTTTTTGCACATAAAACCTAAGTAGATCAAGTCGAGTGAAAGCATAATAAAGAACTTGAATTTGTTTTGAGTAAAGTAGAAAGTTTCACCAGCCATAAAACAAGAAACAGAATAGAAGTAATTTACTGGGGTGGCATGGTGGCTCAGTGGTTAGCACTGCTGCCTCACAGCGCCAGGAACCCGGATTCGATTCCATTCTCGGGCGACTGTCTGTGTGGAGTTTGCATGTTCTCCCCGTGTCTGCGTGGGTTTCCTCTGAGTGCTGCAGTTTCCTCCCACAATCCAAAGATGTGCAGGCTAGGTGGATTGGCCATGCTAAATTGCCCGTAGTGCCCAGGGATGTGTGGATTAGGTGGGTTATGGGGGGATGGGTCTGGGTGGGATGCTCTGAGGGTCGGCATGGACTTGTTGGGCCAAAGGTCCTGTTTCCACACTGTAGGGATTCTATGATCTATTCTGATCTATGATCTACTGGATTAGATACAAGCCATTTTAGGTGGTAAAATGAGACCTAGAGCAGATAATTAAATGGAAACATTAGTAGATTAAACAGAAGACTAAAATATATTTAATGCAAACGAGAATAATTTTGACTGAGACTGCAGAACCATGGCATCACAGTTTAGGTTTCCAAAGCTAAATAAAATGAGGTCAAAATAATATTTTGCCAATATTCCAGTTCTCAAGCAAGTGTTTGCCAAGTATATTTTAAATTTTCTCTTGTGCATGGGAACAATGGAAATAAGCTATTTCCTGAAGCCTGAGGGGAAAATACTTTTTTAAAAAAACAATGGATTATTAATGAAATAATGGGATTCAAAGTGAAAGCAGTGCTAATTATTCATGTTTAAAGGAAGTTGAAAGAAGAAATGGAGAAGTACAGCACAATGCGGAGGGAAAACTAACAGATATATTAAGTATATCGATGATAAAGGGATTATTATGAATTTTTAAAAAACATAAGAATAAAAGCAAAATACTGCAGATGCTGAAAATCAGAAATAAAAATAGTATTGAAGAAATTGAGCTGATCTGGCAGCATCTGGGGGGAATGAAACAGAGTTAACTTGTTCAGAGGAGGAGTCAAAAGGGACTCGAAACATTAACTCTGTTCTATTCATCACAAATGTTGACAAGACCTGCTCAATTTGTCTAGCACTTTGTTCTTTTTGTATTTGAAAGAAAAACATTGTTTTGTAAGAAAATTTCAGGAATCGTACAAAAGAGCTGAAAGTTTACGAATGTTGTACTTCAGGAAGAAAAAAAAAACTAGCAACTTGCACATCACACTTCCAATCTCTTCCATAATTTCATATGTGATTATGTGAGGGTTATAGTGTTAAACACAAGTATGCTAAGCATTACGAAGAAAAACTAAGAGCAATCACTTGGACAAGAAGAACATTGTAGCCCTGACACAAACTTGGCCTCTACTCACCAAGGCAACGGGACGTTGACAAAGACACAGCAGTTTTAGAAGAGCTGGCCTTGTTAATAGTGGACATGATTTACATGTTAGAAAATAACACTTTTACTGATCGGTATGGCCAGACGATGGGTATGGCCAGACCAAACCTTTCTGGATATAGTTAAAAATTATAGTGTAATATTGCAAGTATGTTGAAAATTTGAAAATGAAGCAAAAATGAGATTTATAAGCAGTTTAGAAAAGTTTGCAGTAGTTCTAATTAGGGAAATGTTAACTGTCCTAAAGTATATTGGGAAAAAGTACAAAAAGGAGAAACCTTCTCAGTATTTATTCAGAATTTTTGTCTTAATTTACATGTAAGGATCTGGCACAAAATCTGTTTCTAGAGGAAGAAACAGGATGACTAGGTTATGAGTAAGTGCTAGAAAATGGGGGAAATAATGGCTGTTAAACTAATTAGGTTCATGTTAAAAATAAAAGAGCAGTAGAAGATAAAGGTGTTGGACTTGAAAAGGACCAAATCCAGATTAATTTCTTCGAGGAAGTGATAGGTAAAGCAATTGAAGAATAGTAGAAAATAGTTTAAAACAGATGTGTAGATACAGCTCAAATAATTTCAGATTAAAAATAAAAGAATAATATTGAAGGCTAAGGCTGGATAGGAAATAGAAAATTTAGAGCAAAGTTTCTTTTTAAGAAGAGTATACAATTTTTAAAAAAAAATTATACCAAGAAAAAGAGCAACAAAAATATTTAGCATAATTATGAAACAATCAATTAGGACAAAGAAGGAAAATTTTAATGAACATCAAGTGAATTGACTTGCATGAAGAAAAGGATAGTTAAACAAGGGTTAGAACACAACGATAAAAGGGACTATCTTATGCCTGAAGGTTTATAAATGGTAATGATGCTTAATGTTTGGAGGACCAGTTTTTATTGGCGACGGCAGTGCTGCAGGGACAGTAAAACTGTTCCAGGCTCATTGGAAAGTGCATGAGTGGAGTTATGATTTCCAAAATCAAAACTACCCTAAGATTTTAGAGATAACAAGGTGTAGAGCTGGATGAACACAGCAGGCCAAGCAGCATCAGAGGAGCAGGAAGGCTGACGTTTTGGGCCTAGACTCTTCTTCACTTCTGCTGTGTTCATCCAGCTCTACACCTTGTTATCTCAGATTCTCCAGCATCCGCAGTTCCTACTACCCTAAAACATTAATAGAATAAAAAGTGAATGTTATCAGGTCTGATCATATCCACAGCAGAATAGTAAAAGAGTAAATAAAGTGCTCACTGAGTTACTAATCATACTTTTTTAATGATTGTTGCAAACAAGGAACTTTGACAAAGGATTCCCAACTGGTAGATATTACGCACCTAATTAAAAAGAAGAAATGAGCTAGGAAAGTATAGACCAGTTAGCCTTGTCTGCATTGAAGTTAAATCTCTTGGGTTTGTTTCATGGGTCTGTTTACCATTGAGGAACTCCACCCCTTGGAAAGGACAGAGCAATTAAATTGTAATGAATAATTCAAGATAAAAGACGAGCACAGAGACCAAAATGAATACATTTCCTGTGCTGTAATTTCAAAACAAACTTAGAGGTAATAGTTATGGTGAGAGAGTTAGCATTATTTATAGAGCATTATGCTAAATTTCATCCTTTCATGCTAATATTTCCATAGTTCTATAAATTTATGTTGGACTACATCGTCACATGTTATAGAAATGAAACAAAAAGTCAGTACGATCCAAAGCCAATCAATTCTTGTCAGCCATGAAATTCTTCAAAATGCAGATGGGATAACTCATTAAAGGACATTCCAGCGTAGTAGTATCACAGTCACTCGGAACAAGTGAAAATAGGCTGATTATGTCTGCAACAAGGAAAAGCCAGAAATCTGTTTGCACATTGTTTATTCATGCTTTACTCTTACTTGAGGGCACTAAATATTTCAGATGATTTCATGGTTTTGTTGCATTACTAAATAAAACAGTTTCAATTATTTTACTTCCTTTAGCAATTTGCAATCCTCCTTGCAAGAATGGTGGACATTGTATGAGAAACAACGTTTGCTCTTGTCCAGATGGCTACACAGGAAAAAGATGTCAGAAAAGTAAGAGCCGTCTTTAAATTATAAATCCATTCAAGTAATTCAATATAATATCTGATTCCATTTATTTAAACAACAGCATAACAGCTCCAGGGGATATTACAAACACTTCCTTATATTTAAAACAGATTTTTTAAAACCTCAAACCAAAGTATCTGGAATGGTCAAATAGTTAAGGTTCCTCAAATAAAAAGTACTTTGAAATTGGAATCATTTCAGATTTATAAGAACTGAATTTAAGTTTTTATGGCTGCATTATTTTTCACGTAATTTCCAAACAACTTATTTCCACCTTGGTTTTACTTAAAGAATGTATTTATCTAGGTGTTTTTACATCTTCATCTTTCATCACGTTTGTTACTTTGCTGGACTCACTTGACAACACTTGTTGTCAATCACTTACTCATATGAACAGTATCTGGAGGTGACGCACCATTATACCTAATAGTTGTGAACTCTAATAAAGTTGCTGCCTTGCAGACAAGGAGGGAGAAAGAGAACTTGATATCCAATAATTATACATTTGATTGTAAATTCATGTCGTTTTGACGTCGCAAGTATTTATTTTATTCAATCATAAAATGTAGGCATTACCAGAAAGGCCAGCATCTGGTGATCATCCCTAATTGCCCTTGAACTGGGTGGCAGAAGGGAGTTAAGAGTCAATCACATTGTTGTCAGCCTGGAATCTCGTGTAACTTACCATGCCTCCTTGACACTGCTGCACACAGACATGTTCACTGAGACATCCTCAGGTTAAACAAACCATCAGATGTCTATCTGATAAAAGGACAGGGATTATGGTGACTTTCACTTTATACACAGGCCAGATTGGGTAATGATGGCAGATTTCCTTCCTTAAGTGAACTAAATGGGTTTTTACAACAATCAATGATTAGTTTTATGGTCACCATTACTGAGACAAGTTTTCATTCCTAGATTGTTCAACCAAGTCTAAATTTCTCCAGCTGCTGCAGTACAATTTGAAACTATGTCCCCATAGTTACAATGTGGGATTAATAATGATATTACCACCACACCACCATCTCCCCTACCCTTACATTCTTTTGGCAGTATTCCGTCTTCTAGCCTACACAAACTGGGATTTGACTCCATTTTTTAAAGCAGCACTCTAGACCTCTGACATACTCGTCCAGTGACATTACCATTCCACCACCATCTCTCCCAACTACAGCCAGAGACTAACTTGACCACATTTGCTCAGCTACTCACATAGCACAGATTTCGGTTGTGTTGGGCTGAGCTCTGCAGTGAAATATTTTTGATTAAGCACAGTGATTAGTGTAGTATGCATGTGTAGTTTTCGTACAACTTCCTTGTGTGGAAACTTATGGTACTTGGGCCTATAGGCTAATTAAGTTAATCATTTATTAAGAGCCAACTATATATCATAGACAGAAATAAAAAGGAAGAAAAATGAGGTTGACTATAAATCTAGAATTGTTCATTTGTTCGTAAAACTTTTTATCAAGAGGCCTTTGGTGATTCATTTCTATAGTATTTCTTACCCTGAATGAAGCATCTGGCTGAAAAGGTTATATGTATGTTAAAGAGAATAAATTACTGCATGTCTGCATTTGTCATACAACAGATGTGTTTTAAGCTCCAATTGTACCAATGGTGATTGCGGTGCACAAGTTAGTAAGCATTACGCTGTTATGAGGGAGGGAGGTCATTGGGGGATTTGTTAACCATTCAAGTCAGGGCAGCTAGCAAAATGAGGTCATAAGAAATAAGAGCAGGAGTATTAAACCATGTTGGTCAGATGTAACAATAGATACATTGGTGGGTATAAAGGCAATCACACACTGGTTCTGGAAGGCCCTCATTGCAATGTAACTGCTAGGCTTGGGGAACCTGACCACCCACAGTTAAAGTTGGGCAACACGGTGGCACAGTGGTTAGCACTACTGCCTCACAGCACTAGAGACCTGGGTTCAACTTCAGCCTTTGGTGACTATGTGGAGTTTGCATGTTCTCCCTGTGTCTGCATGGGTTTCTGTCGCGTGTTCCAGTTTTTTTTCCACAGTCCAAAGATGTGCAGGTTATGTGGATTGACCACGGTTAGTTGCCCATAGTGCCCAGGGATGTGCAGGCTAGGTGAACTAACCACGGTAAATGTGGAATTACTGGGATAGAGTGGGTGGGATGCTGTTTGGAGGGTTGGTGCAGACCCTATCCGCACTGTAGGGGTTCTGTAATTCTATGGATTGACAAGTTGAGCACAATAAGGCTTGCAGCTCATATCATACTTAAACTGTCTAACTGTCTGTTACAGCACATTGCTGGTCCACTAATCTGTATTGGCCTCAATTGAAGTTCACACTTGATGCATTGGAAGGAGAATTTGGTTCAGAATTCGAAATTTTAAGACCTCCCCCACACCCCTCATTATCATAAACCCTTTTTCAGTTAAAAATCTTGCCAAAATACCAGTCACCTGGTAAAACACACCTCCTGTCTCCGCCTGTAAGGAATCCAAGTTTACTCCTGCTAATCTTATGTTGTGCACACAGGAGCTGTGGCAATCTGTTTTCATGTCTCTAATTACATTGCTGTCATGTTCTTTCCTTTTCTCTATTGATTGCTTCACTATCCTTTGCTGAATTTTAAAACCTTTCTAATCCTCAGAGTTATTATCATTTTTGGCAACATTATGAACCTGTTCCTTTCTTTAATCTAATATGCATATAAGCTTCTCTTAGCCATGGTTGTACTAAATTCCCCATGGAATTTTCCTTAAAGAACTGATATTCATTACAAATTATGAAACCATTAATTTGATTTTGCCATTGCTTATCTGTCATCATTTCTTTGTATTTAATATCCCAATTTGCCCTGTACTGATTTAAAACCTTAGTTTCATTCTGAACTAAATCCCTTTAAATTTATTATGATCACTCTTTCACAGAGGCTCCTTTACAGCAAGGATATTACTTAATCCCATTTAATGTAAAAAATACTGGATCTAAAATAACATATTCCCTCATTAGTTTCCTTGATCAGAATCTCAAAGAACAATCTTGAAAACACTACCCTTAATAGACTGCTTAGCAGCATCAATTGACTGTGGTTTTTGTCTGCACATTCACATTTTCCCCTTACCTAATCCTACCCAATTTGTATAATCTTCTACATGAGTCCACATTCTCTGTACCTCGGACTCTGGATTACTGCTTCTGTTTCTCACCCTCCTCTCCATCAGATATTAATCTTTTAGCTCTAAATGCTGAATCTTATGAGTGATTTGGTAGCCCGATATCATTGTATATATTGGATCCCAAGACCAAATTTGCTGGCAGAGAAACCTGCTCAGCAAATGCATCACAAGCAGCATCCCAATCGATAATTTGTGGGCCAGTTGTCAATTAAGGATGACCAGCCTGCTGTGGAAACTGCTAGCGCAATCAAGGCTAGCATCACTGAAGCTTCTGCATTGTCACCAAGAGAGGTGGTTACTGCTCAGGTACGCAGAAGATCTCAGCACATCTGATTTTAAAAAAAAGTTTTAACATTTCACAATGTCAAGAGGCCGAAGGTACTGCCCCCTACCCTGTCCAACTTGAGACCTTTCTGAGACCCCTTCCCCCAGCTCTTACTGGAAGGTGTCCCCATTTAGCTGACAGTCTCCCTACTCAGCATGGGAATTGCTCCACCATTGATAATATGCCAATGACAATTAGAAATAGCCCCTCATTGGCATTTAATTATATAAATAGAAAAGCATCGTCCGTAAATCTGATCTCACCATAGGTAAAATGCTACAATATTCTGGGAAGACTGGTAAAATCCTGACATCTGCTTCTGCCCATTAAAACTCACTTCTAAACTTGCTTCACCTTGCCACTTCTGTCGAATGCTCATATTGTCATCCCTACCTTCAAGTTCATGTATGTTTTCACAGTGCCCTCACTCATCCTTTATGAATTACATTGGCCATAACCATATGTTGTAATATATGACACAGTTCTTTCCTTTAAAGGTGTCTGTGAGCCGATGTGCATGAATGGAGGGAAATGTGTGGGTCCTAATATCTGCTCTTGTGTGTCAGGATGGATGGGGAAAAGATGTAACACACGTAAGTCAGAGATTTATTGCAGTTTCTAATGTGCATTTATGCCAATGCTATTGATAAAGGCAATATCAAGTCCTTTACTGCTCAAAACACTGCAAAACACTTTTGTGTTCTAACAAAGGTTTTGAATTACGAATACTATATCCATCAACATTCTTATCTCTGCTTCAGTTTATTTAAATTTTAATAGATTCAAGCATATAGTAATCAAAATCTTCTCATTATGCCTACCTTAGCTGTCTGTATACAAAAGTGCAAGAATGGAGGAGAGTGTATAGGTCCCAGTACTTGCCATTGTGTGCCCGGATGGGAAGGACTGCAATGTCAAACACGTAAGCAGTTTACAAGATGCTTCTTTCTTTGTAATTTTATTTTAAATTCTGAGGCTACTTACAAGCTCTGAACATGCGTCAAATACATTTGATAGCAGTTGGAAGTTTAACGATAAACAAATCTAGTTAGCTTAGGTCTTCCTTCCTCGTTCTGTCCTTCAGCCATTAACTGATGTTAAATCATTGGAGCAGAAATCCCATAGTCAACATACCACATTGTGTAAGAATTGCACTATAAGTCTGGAGTTGTGCTCCCATACCCAATTGATCTGAATCAGATACAATTACGTCAGTCAGCTATGTTTGGAAATCCCAATACAAATCACTAAACTGTTTTGAGGATGCTTGGAAGATCTATGACTGCATGTTCCTTAAAATGCCTACTTTAGATGGACGTTGCATCAATGGTGTGGGGATCAGGTGGGAAGTAGGAAGATATTTGGCTCAGATAGTCTAGTGTTAGACAGCCACATCATTTTCAATACTGTCTTCCAATGGAGAATCCACCACAGATGATTGAAGAAGGAACAAAGGCGTTGCAAAGAGAAACAGAAAAGTAGTTCAGAATTTTGATGAAAATGACCTCAAAACCAGAGGGAGAATCTGTAGCAAATTTCCAGAGGAGGAATCTACAATGAAGAAATATCATGTCATTGGGAGAGCATCAGTTAATTCTGTGTCACAACACACAACAATGAAGTTCAATGATTTGATTAGAACAAAGAAAGTAACATATGATCATTCTCACTTTACTTTCTTTGCTAACCAGAACATGAGGGCACTCTTAATCTCCTATTTGAAGAAACATTCCACATTACTATCTGATTGAAGAGTGCACAAATATAATTGTGTGCTAACATCTCCTCTAGGAGTATTTATCTTAATGCAAGAGGTTATAAACGTCACTGAATTCACTCAGGTTATCTTCCAGAAAAATAACGTATACAGTATCCATGAGAGGTAAGCAACCTGAGGTGGCGTTCCTCCCTTTAAAGAGTTAAACTCGCATGAGAAGAAAATTATGGAGCTCTTAGAAGATAGCAGGGTCAGTGACATATTGCCAGCATCAGGGTAATGGATTCATGTCTGTACAGCTGCCATGACATCACAGTGAAACTGTGCAATACAAGCAACCACATATTTTCCTGCCTCCTTTATCTGGAGGTGTTACCCTCGACCTTCTTTTCTGTTTACACTTCAAAGCAATGAGCAGTATAATAAGGAAGTTGATGAGCAGTGGAAAAGTGGGGAAAAAGAACAAAAGTGGAAATTGTTCACTAGATTTGTCATCTTCACAGTGGACAATAGGATGCTGATGAAAATGAAAAATAATGTGAAAGTCAAGCTTATCCATATATCCCTGGGTCAAAATCCTATCATAAGTTTGTCTGCCGGAATCTTCTTGATCTCACTTCCTGTAACACTTGCTTTATCTCTCTCATATACCAGTTCCAGTACCCATTAAGGGTAATACCAAACTGCACAGGCTAAAACACCACAGATGCCACCAATAGAGGCTTCACCACAGGAATAAACTGGTCTATGCATCATACACCATGATCAACCAGTCAGCATGATGCTGAAGTTCATATTATATATAGGATAACCACGAGATAAAGTGAAAGAGATGCATGTCCAGTAAGTCAGGTCTGTATAGTGTGAAGACAGGGTAGTTAAGCAACTCTCTACTTCAGAGCTTGCTGTGTTAAAAGAGAAGGTGTTACAGTTGTTGCCTTGTTATTCACAATGATTAGCGTCATGGAGTCACACAGCACGGAAACGTACCCTTCGGTCCAACCACTCCGTGCCAACCATAATCCCAAACTAAACTAGTCCCACCTGCTTGCGCTTGGCCAATATCTCTCCAAACATTTCTTATCCATGTACCTATCCAAATGTCTTTTTAAACATTGTAACTACCTGCATCCACCACTTCCTCTGGAAGTTCATTATTGAGGAAAAGATACAACTATTTCAAACTGACTTATTCATCATTGAAACAGTCTTAGAGGAAAAAGATGTCTAATATATGTTGTGCTATTTTAATGATCAATTCTGACCTGATGCCAATCCTACCAAATGCTTAAGGTGATAACAAGGTGTGGAGCTGGAGGAACACAGCAGGCCAGGCAGCACCGGAGGAGTAGGAAAGCTGACGATTTGGGTCGGGGGCCTTCTTCAGAAATGGGGGAGGGGAAGAGGCTTCTGAAATAAGTGGGGGGTGGGGGCGGTGATAGCAAGTGGATAGTGGAGCAGATAGGTGGGAGAGGAGACGGACAGGTCAAGGAGGCAGGAATGAAGCTAGTAAAGCTGAGTGTAGGTAGGAAGTGGGGGTGGGGATTGGTCAGTGATGTGAGAGGAGTGGATAGGTGGGAGAGAAAACGGACAAGTCAAGGAGGCGGGGCTGAGAGGGAGAACTGGTCTTGGGCTGAAGTTGGGGTTGGGGAAATTTTGAAGCTAGTGAAGTCCACATTGAGACCATTGAGTTGTAGACTTCCAAGGCAGAACATGAGGTACTGTTCCTCCAGTTTCCGGGTGGCATCGTTGTTACACTGGAGGAGGCCCAGGATGGACGTCATCCAGGGAGTGGGATGGGGGGTTGAAGTGGTTCGCGACTGGGAGGTGTTGTCGTTTGTCGCGAACTGAGAGTAGGTGTTCCACAAAGCGGTCTCCAAGCCTCCGCTTGGTCTCCCCAATGTACAGCAGGCCACATTGGGAACAGCGGATACAATAGACCACATTAGCAGATGTGCAGGTGAACACCATGGATCATGTCACATCCACTGATGCTGATCACACCATTTCCAGTACTGCAAGCCATGCCACCGCTACCGCCATCCACACCGCGGATACTGCCACTTTCGTCACTGGGAGCGCTGCCTACATCTGTTCACCTGCACATCCTGCTCATCCCAAGACCAGCCATCTGTCTCATCCCCACCTCCTTGACTTTTCCGTCTTCTCTCCCACCTATCCGCCCCTCCCTCCTCACTGACCAACTCCCACTTCCTACCTACACTCAGCTTTACTTGCTTCATTCCCACCCCCTTGACCTGTCCGTCTTCTCTCCCACCTATCCACTCCACTATCCAACTGCTATCGCCGGCCCCCCCACCCGCATTCATTTCAGAACCCCCTTCCCCTCCCCCATTTCTGAAGAAGGGTCCCGACCCAAAACATTAGCTTTCCTGCTCCTCTACTGCCTGGCCTGCTGTGTTTCTCCAGCTGCACACCTTGTTATCTCAGATTCCAGCATTGACGGTTCGTACTATCTCGAAATGGTTATATATGTTGAGTTTTCAGGCTTCTTTACACAAACTCAACAATCAGAAGCGTTCAAAATGAGGTTTGATTTACAGAACTCCCACCCTTTCTTTTCCGAGCTTTAAAATGCCTCTGCATTGGTTTCACTTGATTGGCATTTCTCTAGAGGTGCATATCTGCGTTTAAATGCTGTTCTGCTCATAGAAACCCTGATGGGCTCATTATTCATGGGAGCAAGAATTGTTCACAGGTCTTTCATTGAGATAAATTCCTTCCTTAAAGAATATCCACAATGTCAAAGGACAAACCCATCATAACAATTTATATTCTCTTTTGAAATGCAGGATTCCTTGCAAGTTATTACATAATCTGTGTATTTGTGGAATAGAAGTGTTTTATGCTGAGGCAGGTGATTTGGAATAAAGCTCACAGAGGAACGTGTGTCAAGTCTTGGACCTTTGTACTTTGAAAAACTTATAAATCCAATATAAATCCAATAAAACTGATTGACTAGCACATTACTGCCTTGCAATAAGGTCAGATTTGATTAATTAAACAGGCTGAAAATTGTGTGAGTAAACTGACAAATATGTGCTCATTTCTATATGACTGCCTGAAATAACCGAGCACCATAAATGTGGGCTATGGTTCTGATCTTCTTCATAACCACGGGGCATATTTCTATGGCTGCAAGTCATTACCATTTCCCTAGCCTCCACAAAGTACATTCTGTGCATCACCATTATCTAGAAACTCCATAAGACCAGCTACATAAATGCCTTATGGTAGAACGGATTAAAGCCTTCTGCTGAAGGGTTCAACACTGACTTTCCAAAGCCTCAACCACCATCCAAAAGGCATGCATCATCAAACATAATGGATTAGCCTCCAGTTTTCTGGCTGCGCGCAGCTGCAACATCGTACATGAAGCTTAACAGCATCCTAGTCAACAGAGCGCACTAGAATGGCAATGCACTAGAATGGCAATTCACTTGCAAGTTCAAAATGTATACCACCTTTATCAATAATATGGGGTGGATTCTTCTGCTGTTGCTGATGAGTTTGGGTGGTTTCTGTGGAACAAGAGCCCAGCATAAAGCAGCTCTTTTAGGACAAGGGGAGACATTGGTGACTTATTAATTAAAATCTAGCCATTTCTATAAAACAAACAGAGTTTATATGTTTTTTGCTGTATAAATAAGAACATTCTGTTATGTTCCAAAGCTTTATGCCGGCAAAAATGCCTTTATGGAGGCAAATGTATTCTTCCAAATGTATGCTCCTGTCGCCCAGGATACTCTGGATTCATCTGTGGCAAGAAGGTGAGAGCAATGTTTTGGAATACAACTGTTATAAAATGAAAAGATATGTAGTCTCCTTTCCATATGTGTCCAATTTTGGCCTCTTCCCTAAATCTCTGTGTTTGTAGTTGAATACAATGCCGTCTTTCTCTGATGCAACCATACTGGTTACAACCATAGTATACCATTTGACTGCAAACTGAGATTCTGAATTCATCTTCTCCATTGCAAAGGCTATCTACTTGCAGCATTTTAACACCATCTATCAGCACCTCAGCCTCAATCCATCCGCTACTGAAATCCTCATCCAACCATTTTTCACTTCCAGACTCAGCAATTGCAATACATATTTGGCTGACCTGCCATTTCCACCATTCAAAGCTCAGCAAATGCTAAACGCCACTGCCCATAGCCTATCATATCATGTTCATCCATTATTTATGTACTGTCAGACTTAGGTTGGCTTCCAGCCCCAAACTCTTCGAATTTAGCATTTTCGTCCTTAGTTCCTCCAACTTCTTTCTGCATCTCCCATATAATGTTCCCCATCATGAGCAGCCATGCCTTGAGCTATTTAAATACTAAATACTAGAATTGTGTATTCATTCCTCCTCTCCTTCTCCATATCGTGTTTAAGAACATCCTTGAAACCTCCAGACCTTGCAGGGAGCCAAAATCTGTAATGGCTTGATGGAAAGATTGTTTCGGGGCACATAGGTAACAGCTATAGTGCATCTATTTATCCTAATGAGTGCAAATAAAACAAAAATTCAGCTTGGTTCTCAAGCATGTATGCAAATTTGTCATGAGAATTACGATTAATTTAGGAAGTCAAAAAAAAACTTGTCTTTTGACTCAGCACTATTTTTCTGGCTGATAAAGCTTCTATTGAGGATCTCAAAATGTTATTCTACATTAAAACTAATATAAATGCAAGTCTACATGATTATTATTCTTTGTTTCCTATCTGCCCCAAATTGTAAGGGAGATGTAGAGGAAACCAGAATTGGAGCAATGCAGACTCTGTGGGTTGTAGTGCTAGTTAGTGAAATACAGAGGAACAAGACCATGAAGAGAATTAAATACAAAGATGAACATGTTGAATTCAAAACGTTGGAGAGTTGGAAGCCAAAGTAGTTCTGGTAACAGGTGATCAAGAAGTAGTGTGACATAAGATATGGGTAGCAGAGTTCAAAATTCATTGAATACTAAAGAGGGTGAAAAATGGGAGGTCCGTCAAAATCATCAAGTTTCGGAGTGATAAAGGCACAGATTAAGGAAAGATCAGCAGATAAAGTGAGGCCAAGGTGGTGTCAGGTGATGCTGCATTTATAGAAGTAGTGTAGAAATCAAAACTTGTAGTCTCTGGTTTCCGCAGCCCATAATTTAAAAAAAAATTCACTGTTAGCTGTTAATTTGTCCCCTAAATCAAAATTGTAAACATACTATATATAACACACCAGTTGAAACAGGAGTTTCCAATTAGTACCAGTAGAAATAAATCTTTGTCATGATTATGACTGACCAAAATCTGATTATTCCTAGTAGCATGCATCTGTAATGAATTGTTTTTTTTATTCCAGATACCAATGAGACTGGGTTAGCTTGGCACCAGTGTCTAATATCCCTCTCAGCAATAATAGATATAATGCTGGAGTCAGTTGTAAGAACCGGAAGTGGTTTTGCTCAATTATAAGGACTGTAGACATCAAAGACTTGATTGTGTTAAATCAAAAGATTAAACCAAAGGTTTGATCCAAACCATGCACAGACACTTATAACTTGGTATTAAAAAAAAATAGTGCTCTTCAAGTGGTCTTGAGTAAAGTGGTGTGTTTACAGTTTGAACAGAGTAATGTGAGGTACTGTAAGCAAACGATAATTACTGCTTATACCATTTCTTCCTGTATTTTCACTACCTCATAATATAATGCCAGGGGCTTATCGTATAGTCACTAATGATTGCAAGACATGATGGAATTTGTCTGAATTTTTGTGAAACATTTACGTAATGTCCTCTGAGCATGGAAGTTTTGACTTGAAATTCTGATTTGTCAACTGCATTGTAACATTACTTTAATTGCATTGCTTCTAATGGAAGATCCTGACCCCCCTTGAAACTGCACAATCTGCAACCATATCAATCTTAAATGTGACACAATAAATCTGCTCACTCAAGTATGTTTCCTTTTCTTTACATGAGAAGACAAATGCATCAGGATGTTTGGGTTCTCCTTCATAGTTAAGTGAGTAAATGTGCCATGCTGAGTAAATCTGTACAGGTGAGGTTTTGTTTCTGTCCCTTGGTGTGTTGAGTTACAAGATCTCAGCTACGTTACACAGTTTTCATCAACATCCTCAAGAAGTGGAAAGAATCAGAGTGTGTAGGTTTGCAGTTATGTTGAACTAGAACATAATCACTCTTGATGAAATGCAACTTGGTATAATGGACCAGATATCTTAAAATTAATTTAAGGCTTAGAATTCCTTTAATATTATTGGATGAACATCTGATACGTCATACAACATTTTTCTGTCCAGTATTTAACACCGTCATGAGCCCATTGATCTGAAATCAGTTAATGTCACCATTAATATTGTGAACAGAGCAATGTCGCACAGATGTATTGAAGGTTCATCTTCCAATATCCCCAAATGTAATTTCTGATAATTCAATGTAATGTCTTGAAGAATGCATGATTTTAAGCATATATAATAATTTACTGTGTAAAAGTGAAGGGTAATAGATACTGACATACTCACAAAGTTAGGAAACCTGTCAGAAACACAGCAACCGTGAATAATTATATGGGTATTTATTGAATCAGACACAGTGAATGTCTGTCTGTACTGTAAATCAGTATTATCTCCCAATCATTCCCTTTCATGGACCTGCCATTTCCATATCATGACCATTTTTGATTATTGTAGAAATTTACAGACCTGATCACCATGTCATAAAAGGGTTGCACAGACGATGCATAAATATTTTTTATCTGTATACATGATTCCAAAAAATCCAAAGTACAGGAAGAATAGACCATTCTGTCAGAAATAAACATTTTTATATGGCATGTCCATACAAATGCAGAAAAAGGTGGAAAGAAGTTTTTTTTTGTTTTCTGTGGTGGGATATATCATACTACATGATTTAACTAAAGGTGATATGGGAAATAACCTATATCCAAATGTTTTTACATTAAATTTTAGGACTCACCTCAGTGTGAATAATTACAGTATTCACATAAAGCCACAAGATTCATGCACATCAAGTTAAACTGGTTGCTACGCTTCAGTCAGTTGCATGTTACTGCTATTTTTCCGTATGATATTGGCATTTTTTCATGTATATGAAGCTGAAATTGTTGTTTGTAAACTTTGTTCAAGATTTTGTTTTAAGATGAAAATTTTATATAAGGTTAATAACCCAAATTAATTAGTTTAGTAAAGTTAGTGTTTTAAAATACTTCAATAGGTAAAACAATTATAGCATCAACTTACAATGTGCCACATCTTCTACATTCTTGACATTTCAGATTTTTGTGCCAATTAAGTTATTGAAATCAACATAAAAATATTGATAATCAAAGCTGTTGCATATATTTGTGTATATAAAACACATCAAAACTGTATTGCCTTATTAATGTCTCAATATCTACTTTTCATTTTTTCTTTGAAATATTAAACATTGTACATATAAATATGACAAGTGAAAACCTTGATTAATGTCCACACAATAAAGGTATTTGAAATGTGTTTTAAGTACTGAGTTGTAAATCCTGTACATTAGCAATAAACATATGAACTCTAAGGCATTGAATATTGTGTGTTACTAAAATATCAATCTGATGCTACAAATCTTTCTACTTTAATAATGAAAGTGCATTCTGACATTTTTGAACAAAAATATTCATTTAGTATTTACAGTATTTAGCACTGTTATTTTCCCATGAGGACAATACTAGGAAGTGTGACTAGGTGAGCGAGTGTAATGATGTTATTAGGAATAGAGAGCCAGAATCTAATCTATAAGTTGGTTGATGAAAGTTGGGAATATTCCCAGGGTCACGTGCTGACCTTGGGAAGTGCCAGCTCCAGTGGTGAGATCTTCATTGCTGGGAGGTTGTGCTGGATGAAGTCAGCCCAGTCAACTCCCCAGAAGAAATTTGGAGGTAGCCACAAAGTTTGTCAGCTGCAGCAGCGTTCTGTTTAAAAGGCCCAATTTGGTGGTGTAGGAATTTTGTCCCCTCTGTCAAACAAAGGGCCTGCCACCCTTATTTGTTGCACACCCCACATATTTCACAATCCAGCACACTCCTTGTCTGCAAGCACCCATCATGATGCATCATATTTCTCATGCCAAGGTATTCCTTTTCTCACCCTCATGTAAAATCTAGCCTCCCATTTTAATCTCTCCTTCCAGCACTAGATCTACAGTTTTGCAGGTTACAGCACTTCATGTGCAGATCCACATTCTTTTTAAATAAGTTGTGTTTCTGTCCCACCCATCAAACTAGACAGTGAATACCAGGTGTCCACAGACTTTGTTTAAAAAAAAACAGAAATTGCTGGAAAACCTCAGCAGCTGACAGCATCTGTGGAGAGAAATCAGTTAACATTTTGGGTCCAGTGATCCTTCTTCAGAACTAATGCTAGCTAGGAAAAAGCTAGTATTTATGCAAAAGGTAGGGTGGGGAGAAGGAGTAAGGAGTAAACGATAAGTTGAGGTAGAGCCCAAAGAGAGAGAGAAAAACAGTTGGACAGACAAAGTGATGGATAATGGTCAGCCCAGACTTTGATACAGTGGGCGGGAAAGGTCTGTCTCTCCTGATGGAGAGTCAATTACCAGGGGATAGATTAAGGTGATCAGTAGAATTCAAGGGAACACAAAGTGATGAGTGTCAAGTTTCATTGTTGAGGCAGAACCCTCCACTTACTTAAAATGAAACTTTGAGACCTGTAGGGCTACAGCCCAGTTGCTGGAAAGTAGGATTATAATAGACAGGCAGCTCACGGTCTCTTTCTGTGGTATAACCTTTCTCTGGTTGAACTGAGAATGCTACAGAATTCTGAGGTGAAGAGGAATCTGCTCTAGTGTGCTAGTGAATGAATCACAAAAAGTCAGTATGCAGATAAAATAAAATGTCCTTTATTGTCACAAAATGTCAGTATGCAGATGCAGCATGTAATCAAGAAGGCTACCAGGAGCTACCCTTTATTACAAGAGGAATTTAACATAAAAGTAGTAATGTAGTGTTTCATTTATGTTGGGCTTTGGTGAGAACACAACTCAAATACCATGTTAGGCTTTGGTCTCCTTTTACAAGGAAGAATGAAAATGGGAGGTAGTTCAGTGGAAGTTTACTGGATTGATACCTGCAATGAGTGAGTTGTATTATGAGGGTAGGTTGAAGAGTCTGGGCTTGTTTCCAATGGAGTTTAGAACACTGAGGGGTGATTTGACTCAAGTGTGTAAAATCCTGATTTTTTTTTGACAAGTGGGATGTGACAAAGATATTTCCATTTATGTGTGAGTCCATAACTGGAGAGTATTATTTTTAAAATAGGTTGCACATTTAGAACTGACATTAGGAGATTTATTTTTTCCTCTACAAGGGTTATGCAACTTTAGAACTCTCTGCCTCAGAAGACTGGAAGCAAATTCATTGAATATTTTTTGAAGTGGAAGTAGGTAGATTCTTGTTGAACAAGAGGAGAAAGGATTATCAGTAGTAGATGGGAATGTGGAATTCAAAACAAACAGAGCAATGTTATCTCATTAAATGGCACAAGGGATTAAATGGTTTACTTCTGATCCTATTGTGCATGTTTTATAAGTGGTGGGGGAATACAGGAAGACTGCAAATGATTGTGGAATCTCTAGCTTAAGGCTGCTATGTTCAGCAGCTACTAACAGGAAAATTCAGTGGCTGCCTTTATAATGAATATTGTTTGAGATGCAGTGAAAGGGTTAATAACTGCTTGGTTAAAATCTGTCATTTTTGATTATTGAGGATGTTGCTGAATTACTCTAATTTGGCTTCTGCATAAGTCCACTAATGCCATATGAGCATGCAAATAAGGAAGGTAAAGTTATGAGCAGGCATTTGACCATTCAAGTTTGCTCTGCTATTCAATATTATCATAGCTGATCTTCTCTATTTTAATGCCATATTCCGTGTTTTCCCATACCCCTTGATGCCTTTAAAATCTTTTTTAAAAATCTACCTTTCTCTTAAATATATTCAGTGAGTTGGCTTCCTTAGCCTTTGTGGTAGAGAATTCCACAGGTTCACTACCCTTTGAGTGAAGAATTTTTCATCATTTCAGTCTTAAATTGTCTGCCCTGTACCCCGGTTCTGTAGAACCCGACAGAAAACATACTGCCAGTGTCTTGTGTGTGCTGCATTGTTTGAATTTTATGTTTCGATCAGATCCCTTCTCAAACTTCTGAGTTCGACTGAATACAGATCCTATCAAACCAATCTCTCCTCATAGGACAGTCCTGCCATCCCTGGAATCAGCCTAGTGAATCACCACTGCACTCCCTCAATGGAAAATATATCCTTTTTTTAAACAAAATTGGAAATTGCTGGAAAAATTCAGGAGGTCTGGCAACATCTGTGGCGAGAAATCAAAGTTAACTTTTCCGATACAGTGTTTGGTCTTGTTTTATGTTTCTGTTTTCCAGCATACACAGTTTTATTTCAATATGCTTTCTTAGGTAGGGATACCAGAACTGAATGCAGTATTCCAGGTGTGGTCTCTAACTGCAGTAAGACATCCATCCTTCTGAACTCAAATGAGTTAGTGAGAATGAAAAGGCACATCCCCTCCCAAAAATAACCATTTTGCTTCTCCTCTCCTGCATCTGCAGTATTCTGCTTTCCTATTTGCTCCATGCTGAGCATTCGTAACTGTGATTTGTTTATGAGAAAATATTTATCACTCAGTTGCAAGTTTATTTCTTTCTGTTATCATACCTCATTTGTTTAGATAGAAATAGCACATTATTGCTGGTGAACGAGTCAGTGCTAAGTTGGTGGGAGGCTTTTGCTATTTTTAAAAATGTGCAATTTAAACCAGCAATCACACAACAACATAATACACCACTGTTAGTTCATTTGTATAAAGGATTTTTATTTATGGTGCTTCTTGTTAGTTTCAAGTCTGTTAGGATATTGCATATGGTCAGGTTCAAAGAATTGGAGCTGTTTGCATAATACCAATGGTCAAGTTGTGTGTAATTATCTGACCAAACCATGGTTATAAAGGTTATACTGAAATCTGAATTTTTGGGGAGGTTTTATAAATGATTGTGTACAGTATGCAAGACAGGACATTTTGGAAAACTTTATGAAATATTTCAACCCCATTGTTACATTGGTTCCCAAATCTGAACACCTGAAAAATAGGAAAAAGGGGGTTAAATTGTGTGTGTGTGGAGGGATAGGGGCTCAAGGGCCTGGAAACAAGACAAAGACTAGGACACATGATTTCTCTTCCTGTCCCTGGGTGAAACCCAGACTTAGTATCAGTGAGCATGTTATTGTTTAGTAAATGCCATATGCTTGACAATACTTTCCATCACTTTGTTGATGATCTAGAGTAGATTAGTTGGTGGGAATTGGCCAGATTGGATTTGTCCTGCTTGTGATCAGCATGACATACTGAGACAATTTGCTACATTATCAGGCAAATGGCTGTGTTGCAGCTGTAATGGAACAGCTTGGCTCAAAGTGCAGCTCGTCCTGGAGCACAAGTCTTCAGTATCATTGCCAGGATATTGTCAGGACCATTAGTCCTTATAGTATCCAGTGGCCACATTTGTTTCTTGATATGTAGTGGAATGAATCCAATTAGCTGAAAATTGGGATCAGTTGTGCTGGGGACCTCAGGAGGAGATAGAGGTGGATAATCCACGTGGCACTTCTGGCTGAAAGCGGGGACAAATGCTTTAGGCATTTCGCACTGATGTGCTGGGTACCCCACCGTTAAGGATGAGGATAAGGATGTTTGTGGAGGCTCCTCATCCAGTTTGTTGTTTAATCGTCCATTTACATTCTTGACTGGATTTGGCAGGACTGCAGAGCTTAGATTTGATCTGATTGTAGCATTGCTTAGCTCTGTCTATTGTATACTGCACCACATGTTGACACCTCATTTTTAAGTATGCCTAGTGCAGCACCTGGTATGCTCCTCTGCACTCCTTATTGATCTAGGGGTGATCGCAGCTTGATGGTAATGGTAGATTTGGGGGTACACCAGACCATGAGGTTACAGATCGTGATTGAATACAATCTTGCTGATGGTGGTTGACAGAGTCTCACGGATGCCATATTGGAGTTCTTGTCTTTATTTGAAATCTATTCCATTTAGCACAGTGAAAATACCACACAACACAATAGAGGGTATCCTCAACGTGAAGGTGGGTCTTTGTCTCCAGAAGGACTATGCAGTTATGATCCTAACAATAATGTCATGGAGAGTTGCACCTTTTAAAATTATTTTAAAATTTGTTCATGTGATGTGGATGTCGTTGATCGGCCAGAATTTATTGCCTCTCCTAATTGCCCAGAAGGCAGTTAAACGTCAACCACATTGCTATGGGTCTGGAGTCACACATGGGCCAGAACAGGTAAGGGCAGCAGATTTTCTTCCCTGAAGGATATTAGTGAACAAGATATGTTTTACAACAATCGTGGTTGGATGTGACAGATAATTT